AAATTTCACGGTGCGACAGCTTGGTTTTGATAAGGTTATGGTTGGGTGAGTAGTGCTTATATCTAAGGTTAGGGTAAGTCTCCAGGGAATCAATGCAAGTTAACGTAATGTCGCCTGAAGTGTTGGGAATATGATAGCTTGTGTGTCTTCCCCCAACCTGTCTCTCCCAGAGAGACCTGAGCAAAAACACTGTCACCACAGCCAGTGCAATTGGGCCGCCAGCCTCCAGGCTTTCATCAAACACACACACACACACACACGCACACACGCACGCATGCACGCACGCACGCACAGAGAGAAGGTAATAGATGAGCAAGACCAAGAAAGGGATCAGTGAGGCAGCGACCCTGGTTTGGTTGTCTGCAGCAGCTCTGAGTTGTAGCAAGCACGGAGCACTTAGGAAACAGAGATGGACATGCACAAAACACACACACGCCCACAGGAGTCCAGTACAGCAGGGCTGAAGCTCAGGGATAAGAGCTCCTATCTGCTACCTGGGGCTCCCTTCACTGAAGCTATACCAACTCAAACTGTGGGCAGGCTGTGTGTGTGCACGTCTAGACAGCTTTAGGCTCTCCAGAGCATGACCAGACGTTGATAATCTGTGCGTTTTTCTTGTTAGTGTAGAAAGTAGTGAGAAAAAGTAGCTCTGTCTGTGTACTGTCTAACAAGAACAATGGATACTTAGTATTAACATCGATAGCCATCAAGATCAGGAGAAAGTCTCCCGGAGAAAATCAAATCTCACCAACAGAAAATGAGAAAGAAGATAACTATTATTGACGCCACCGACTGTTGGGGAAAATGAACCGAGGGATGGACAAACAAACAGGACCAAGTAGAAATGAAAATCAAACAGAATCAGTGGGCGAGTCAAAGAAGAGAAAAGGAGAAAACCCGCAGAGAAATCAGACGAGACAGGATGCGTCTGTTGCTGTGTGCCACTCACCGGTCCTCTCAGGTCAATGAGCTCCTGTCTCATCTGGATTATGAGGTGGTCTTTGGCCATGAGCGAACGGTACAGGCGCTCATTAAACTCTATCAATTCACCATGCATCTCAGCCACCTAAAACACACACACACAGAGGAGGAGAAGAAAACTTGAATTAATCAAACCGTGGACCACTCTTCTGCAGGACACAATTATGTACAGTGTAAAATCATTTAAACATCATTGTAGGAGTCAGAAAACAAAAAATTAATTGTCAGTTTATATGAAAATCACACAAAAGGCAATCACACTCCAGTTAAGACATAATGGATAAGGACAGCCGGACAATTTCCAACAGAGATAGGAATGATGGAGGGAGAGGAGGTGAAATTAGTTCCCATCCTATGTGTTCTCCTTCCTCCCTGCTATTCAAATGTCATGAGCTCTAACTAACCTTGACACAATGTTATTCCGTGTGTGTGCGTGCGTGTGTTCATGCAAATACAGCCAAGCTATCCAGTGTGTCTGTGTGTGTGTTCCCCAGCCTGTCTGCCTAACCAGGCCGGACGCTGTGGACAGGTCTCTGTCAGGAGACTGACAGCTGTGACACACACTGTGCTGTATGGAGGACACCTGCTGTCACAGCCACTTGGAAAGAGCGCCGTTGCCGGCTGACAGGTGAGCTGAGCATCAGTGTTGCTCCAGTGCTGACCTTCATACATTAACTTTATCCCATCGCATTTAGAAGCCACACACTGCCATAAAGAAGAGGGGAGATTTCTCGAGTAATAAAGACAAGAGTGTTGACGACGATATTAAATCTGTGGTTCCCTGAATATTTACAAAATAGCTTTATGCCAAAGTCGGTTTGTGTTCTCGTACCAGGCAAGGTATATGAAAACTGCAATATTACCAAAGGAAAACAGTGAAAAGAGCAACAGGAAAGGCTCATTTCAAACAAAGGTGACAGTGAAAGTAGCCAGAAAATGTTTTTAACCAAGAAAAATGAAATATTGCAGCTTTATTTATAGAGTATGTGTGGCACTGAAAAACATTTACACAGTAGTTCTGATGCTGGTTGGCTGCGGTCTTTGCTGGCTGTGAGGACAACAACTCTGTTTCTCATTTAAGTTTTTCTTCGACTAGGTGAAATCGACTGAGGTTTCGGGGTGGGTTTTAATAATCGATTCATCGATTAAAATCGATTCTGGCTTGGATAACGTGATATCGATTCATTAAAATCCTGAATCGAATTTTTTATATAAATTTATTTTGCCCAAAATTTCAGAATCTCAGGTGAAACGTCACAAAATTTTGACAAACACCAAACATTTAAAACAGTAAATGAGAGCAGGAACACGGCTTCTGCACAAAGACGTAAACACAAAGCGCGCATCAGACTTAGTGAGATGTCGCCTTTCTCACCCGACGGCACGGACACGCTCGGGGCTGAAAGCCGACAGCTCGCTGATTCCGATGTTTTGGCGGGTCCGCGCTTTGTGTTTACGCCCTTTTTGCGCTGATTCTAAAGCTGTTAGTTTGATCTCTCTCCAAACAATATTGACCGAATCAGCAGCAAAAGAAGATCCAAACTAAGCTTCACATAAACATCGTCATGGACTCCCTCTGACTTTTGCTGTTTTGCTGCCACCACAATAAAATCACACTTCATGCACAGCTCTCTCTCTCTCTCTCTCAGTGTACTTCAAGAACAGTTTCCCGTCTATCCCCAAAATCTGTTTTCTGCATCATTCGCTTGCATGTTACGCGCAAGTCTACCGCTGTTTACAGCGCTGTCGGACGATGTTTTTTTTTTCTTTTACTTACTTCCGAAAAGAAAACCTAATTTCTGCCGTTCAATAGGCTTTTGAACAAATTTAAACTTTTTAAAATTAAACAAAATGCAAAATGCTGTGTCTCTAATAAAACCGCTGTAACTTCAGAGGTAATGTTCATAAGTTGATTAATGGTTTTCTTTCGTTTTTGATGTACTGCAGAATATTTTTATAAAATCCCAGGCCAGGAAAAGCACCTTCATGTTTTTCTGTGTTTTATCTTCAGCTACTTTGACACAAAGGCATCTGCTGTGATGCTCACACCTTTGATAAAGTCTGGAATGTGTCAGCTTCCTTTTTATAGATACAAAAATATGTAAATGTACTGATCTGAGTTATAATATTTCTGACTGTCTGAGGCAAAATTTCCCAGATTCAAATCGAATCGAATTGGATCGAATCGTGGATCGAATCGATTCTAGAAATCAGTGACGATACCCAGCCCTTCTGAGGTTGCAGCCCACTTTTACAAGCATCTGCCATTTAAACTTGAGTTTGTCACTTTATCGGTTTGTAACAATGATTGAAATTAAAGGGGCAGTATTATGATTTCTCTTCCTCAATACAATACAGTAGATGTACTGTTACGGCACATCTTTCGTGCTCTATAAGGTCACGAGAGTGGATATAACCAATTTGGTCCGAGAAACTGAGCATGAGCTCACAAGCCCAACCTACTTGCTGTTTAAACCTTGCATTTGTAAGAGAGAACCAATTAGGAGACAGCTGGCTTACAATCAGTGAAAAAAAAAGCTTGTTTTACCAGTGACTACCACTGCCAGAGACAACAGTGCTGTCTGTCAGGGAAACACTGACGCGTTCTATAGGTAATTTGTCAACATTTATTGAATGTTTCAAAATTGTATCAAATTTACTTTTCAGTTGCCATGACAACCACAACACAACAGCAAAGACAGCAAAGCTGCAATGGAGCAGAGACGAGTTCTGCCACAAGAACAAATAACGAATCTCCTTGAAATCTGACTGCATTCAACTGGACAAAAGAATGAAATACAAATAAATAAATGAAAAAGAAGAAGATCACGCAGAATAAGCTAGTCTTAAGTATTCAATAGTGATAATGGGTTTTTTCTTGATTGCAAAAGACTTTACAGGTTTTGTCTTAATTGTCAATTGCTGTATTCATCTCAGTAAGGCCGCGGAGCACAAATCACACTCTGAGTCATGATGCCTGCCGTGTATTTGGTATAAACCGTGAGCAGGAAAAGATCATTTTGCCAACGTAGGTGGAGATGTTAAAATGCTCTTTTAGGTGATACTGCTGTTCACTTCTGTCACAGCTTTGTTATTTTCAGGCAAACAAATAAAGTCATGTGTTAGACTACTATTAGATTGAGAAAGACAACTACACAAAGTAGACACGATTCATTTTGTGTTATATGCACAATCTCAGCACATTTGTAGACTTCAAATGTAAAAAGAGAAACATGAACAACAAATGCACACGTCCAGGAAAAAATGAAGCCACTCCATGGTTTATTTTGATAAGTTATCGTGTTGACGTCGCCAAAGTTTGTGTTTCAGTTTTGCTATTACTTAGCACTCATTAGCATTAGGTGGTGTGTGTGCCAGTGTAGTCTATAGATGTAGCTTGCTAGCGTTAGCTCATAAATTTGTATTCTCACTTCTCATCCAAATATGGCCGCTCGTGCCAGAAAAAAGGACTAAACTGGTGAAACTCTGATTTTCTCAAGCTTTATGCCAGGGCTTGTTTTTGTTTTCAGGTATTCCACATTGAATAATTTTGGTCTGGCATTACAAATGTATGTATAATTTCAGAGATATTATCAGTACTGCAGATTTCATCCAGGGTGATGCAACAAATAAGTACTGTATGCAACTCTACAGTCACAACGACCGTTATCTACATAGTCGTAAAAGTATATTATATATATCTTTTTTATTTACCTGTGAAAAACAGCAGACTGTTAGGGGGGCTGGGTCGTCGACCCAGTGGTTTTGTGTTTTTGGTCCTTTGATTGGGTTAATTATATCTAATGGTTTGCAGGGATGTTCTGAGTTTAGGTTCTCTGTGTGGTTTATGTTAGAGTTTTAGTCTTTTGGCTTCTGTCTGTGTTCCTTAATTGCTGTATCCCCTTCTCAAGTCTGCATCTCTGTGTTATGTTTCCTGTTTTACTTTGAAGTCTGTATCTCGGGTTAATGTATCAGGTTTTGCTTCCCTTGCCTCGTTAGCCCTGATTTGCCCCAGCTGTGTTTCCCTTCTGTCTCTCATTCACTGATTGCTCCCTCTGTGTATTTAAGCCCTGTGTTTTCCTCTGTCCGTGTCACTATCTACCAGAGGTGTGGACTCGAGTCACATGACTTGGACTCGAGTCAGACTCGAGTCACATGACTTGGACTCGAGTCAGACTCGAGTCATTAATTTTATGACTTTAGACTTGACTTGAAAAAATGTTCTAAGACTTGTGACTTGACTTGGACTTTTACA